CGTGTCGTGCAATTTTGGTCTGAAATGAAACTTGCAATTACAAATCGCACTCCCGCTACGAAGGTCGTGCTATTTTGTAATCGCGCGTTTGATTTCAGACCAAATTGCACTCCACTCAGTTCAATTTTACCATCATTAATTACATTCCTAGAAAACGTCTTTTACCGCTCAATTATATTACTTTTAACTATGGAGAAACCAAAGGCTTTTTACGACTGGGCTGCCACAGGGAACCCAGTAAAGTCACCAGCAGCACATAGGTGTGTATTGTATTGCCACAAAGCAAACCAAGCAAGTTGAGGTCAGCAAGGCATTAGAGTGCTCGCACTAAAGCCTGGTTTTCACTAGCGACGGAAGCAGAAGCAGAAGCGTAAGACGTCTTATGTTAATGTGAAAATCAAAAAACGGAGACGTAAGCAGAAGCAGAACATCGACGGAAGCATAAGCAGAAGGAACGGAAGGTTTCCTTTTCCTTTTTTCTTATGCTTTTGCTTCTGCTTCCGTCCTTACGTCGCTAGTGAAAACCAGAATTCTTATGCTTCCGTCGCTGACTTACAGAAGCACATGGTGGTAAGCCAATCAAATTCTCGTACTCAGTCCCCTGCAAAAATGGCTCCCTATTGTTTTTCTTATGCTTCTGTCACATTCATTTTTACTAGAACATAACGATCTTATGCTTATGCTTATGCTTCCGTCGCTTATGTCGCTAGTGAAAACCAGCCTTAAACCCGTGAAACAAATACTAATTTTTAGTACTAAATAGTGATAATCAAACAATAGGAAACAAAGGATTCTGTATGAATTAGTACTAATTAGTACTAAATATTATTCACGGGTTTAGTGTGCGCACTCTAAGCTATCATGATTTATATATTATTCACGGGTTTAGTGTGCGCACTCTATATCTATCATGATTTATATGGTGTTTATTCTATTTTTCATGTTAGGAGTGACAGCAGAGAAGCGGTTCTGCATCCATAAATTTGTAAACTAAGAGGTTAACTACGATATTTGTGTTCCTATCCACTTTCTTTCTCTTACGATTTTTATTTTTATTTTTTATTCTCTATATAGTAATATTATTTAATTATTAGCATTTCTATTTCATGATGGTGGACATTAACTTCATCTCGAAGAAGAATTAAAAATGAAGATTTTTTCCCCGATTTTATTTTCGTTTTCATTTTTATCTAAATTGGACTCCCTGTACCTTAGGAGCTCCGCTTTTAGACAGTGCCTAAATTTATATAAATTTGAGCAATAACTGAAAGGATGTTAAAGAAGAAGCAGAGTGCATTAGACATCTATTCATTTGGCCATGCTGTAGGGTAAATAGTAATGTTCTCCTTAGGGAATTAAAATATCTTGTCGTGCAGAAATACTGCATTGCTTCTGGTCTTAACAAGAGCTCGTGCAGTGAAACCAGTATTTTGCGATTGAACCAGCACGACCAAGATTTTAAGTAACCTAGACACGCAGCAGATCATCCCATCAAATGTTTTCAGCTACAACTATTCTGGCTATTCTTTTTAAATTATTTTATCATCCTCCAGCCTCTCCCCCACCCTGAATAAAAGATTTACCTTCCATTTATGGTATCCCATAACTTCTCATGTGCGTTGTGACACGCTTATATACTTGTATAAAACAGTCAAAGGTGTTTTATATAATATAATGAAAATCACTTCAAGACCATATGCACGAACTATGATCGTACAATATGACAGAATGTTGGGGAGGGAGGGGGGTTGGACTGACGTTTTCTCTGTAGCTATCACGAAACTGTTCATAAATTGTCAACTTCAGCAAATCAATAAAAATACGTTCTAAATCTTGAGCATTTATCTGTTTTAACATATAGGTAGTATACTATCATTCGCACGTTCTCAGTACTCAGGCGGATACGTCGATATTGTCCTGTATTAATCTGCCCTTGCCTTACTACTGCATTACGTCAATGATACTGTATTCTTAAGAAAGCAGAATGAGCTACTTTATCTTACACATTTAGGGCCAATATCTAAAGCCGAGAATAAAAACCATGTCAATGAAGTGATACGATATCAACAGGGGCGGATACAGGGGGGGGGGGTGGATTGGGTGGATTTCCACCCCCCCTTTTTTCCCCTAAAAGCTTAAAAAATAAACTGATTTCAAACCAAATAGCTAAAAAAATGAATTGATTCGAAAGAAAATATAAATATCATCTTTTGAAGGCGAACTGTTCCGGTGGAAGAGTTACTGTAAGAAGCATGCTGTAGACGAAGCTTCTGCAACAAGTCTTTTGGCAAAACTTGCTGATAGCATTTTCTTTCCAAAAACCCGGGAACTTCTCAAGATTCTTGCTGCATTGCCAATAGCTAGTACAGAAGCTGAGCGATCGTTTTCCTGCGTCAGAAGGATACATACTTGGCCAAGGAGTACCATGACTACCCAAAGATTATCAGACTTTGGCTTGCATGATGCATAGCCACTTCATCCATATCAGTGAAGACGAATTATGCCAAAGATATATGCAAGAGAAAATGAACTAAGAGAAGGAATTCCCCCTAAACAGCCTTGTAAGTACCATCATGTGCACAGTTTGATGCTATTCTTAAACCTTTTTTTCTGCACGCGCATTTACTGCGCGCGCTCTACGCTGTTTGCTTACGTTTTTGGGGTTTTTCCATTATTTCGACTCTGCCCTGGATACGAATGTGCACGTCGAAAGCTTGGCAAATACGACAGGAAATTGAAGTAGTAATTTGTTCAAATTTCTGGAATATTTTTACGTTTATTTTCCAAAGCTTTCGACCTACATCGTCATCTTGAGGGCAGGTTTGAACATTTGAGCATAAGAAAAGTACAAGAAAACGTTAGCAAACAACGAAGAGCGCGCGCGTACTATACGCGTGCAGAAAATCAAACGATCAAATAAATGATATCATTGGATGATATTTTTAGAATAGCTTCTAAAAATAGCCTTAAAGTTTTCACATGATGGGGCACGGGAATTCCTTCTCTTAGTTCATATTCTCTTTATATATGACAATACATTCAAGAAGAATGATGTCAGCGTCCCTTTTACAATAAAATCATCAGTAACGCTGTTGTAGCTAAGTAGCTATTATCGTAATTTTTGTATACATTACAATCATTTCCATTTTCTAAAACGCAGTTGTACTATCAAATATTTCTAATCTATRTCTTTTTAGCGCCTTTCTAATTTCGTTATTTAAATAAAGTGTAATGACTTATGGTTAATTGAAATTTTTTTCCACCCCCCCTTGAAAAATCCTGTATCCGCCCCTGATCAGTTAACGGTAAACTTTAAAATGTAAATTTGTGAAATAGCTCAGAATATGCTTGAAACTTTGAGTCGACCTAAGCCTACTTAAGTGGATTAAGTGGAGTATTCCCTCATCTACAAATGAAAATTAATGCTCTTCGTATTATAAACACATATTGTTATTGAGCTAATTAAGCCAATCATTCCAAAGATCTCGATCTGATCAAGCTGCGTTCAGTTTTCCACACGACGCTCATGGCCCCTCACTGACGTACTGATCAGTGTAATAAATGCGATAGTTATTTAGAAAATAAATCATTTTAGAAATCAGAGTAATCTTAATAAAAAGGAATGCTGAATTCTCATCACTTATTCCTCAAGTATAGGGCACAAGAGTGCAGAAACAATTAATATCATATGCTCAGGTGTTCATCATAGTTAGATTAATTGTTTCTTGTTCAGACGTAAATCACAATATTGGCAGCTATTTCTAGTCAAGCCTTTATTAAACAATACATGTAATAACGTCATCGCCATGTTTTTGAATAACTTTAACAAATTTAAAGATGGATGGTTTCATTAAATTCATCGAAATGCCTTGTTTGGTTGATGGATTTTTCATTAGGGAGATGAGCAGAAAAAAAGTACATTGTTTATTGTCTTTTGATCATTTGCCAATTATGCTCGCTGCAGTATGACAGTTCTTGCACACGAAGATCATGGCACCTCACGTACTGATCAGTGTAATAAATGCGGCGCAGTTATTAAGAAAATAGATCATTTTAGAAATCAGAGAGAGGGATCTTTAATTGAGGAATGTGGAACTCCCATCTTTTGATTATTTGCCAATTCTGCTCGCAGCAGTATGACAGTTCTTGCACACGAAGATCATGGCACCTCACGTACTGATCAGTGTAATAAATGCGGCGCAGTTATTAAGAAAATAGATCATTTTAGAAATCAGAGAGAGGGATCTTTAATTGAGGAATGTGGAACTCCCATCTTTTGATTATTTGCCAATTCTGCTCGCWGCAGTATTAATGTCGTATCGTACTTCAAATAATTTCAGCTTCTAGGAGTATGAAACTACCGAACTATCAACAAGACTGCGCACTTTGGTCAAACTTTCGTCGGATGCACTTTATATCTCCAGTCGTACCGGACACTGACCAATAAACTATAAGGTATTTCGCCTA